CCGGAATATCAACAAGCATTGGTGGAATTGAAGCGGTACTTATCAAGCCCACCTCTTCTCCACACTCCGAAGGCAGATGAGAAGCTATACTTATACTTGGCTGTGTCCGAAATAGTGATAAGTGGTGTACTAGTTCGAGAAGAGCAAGGTACGACGTTTCCTGTTTATTACGTAAGTTGAACCTTAGGAGATGCTGAAACTAGGTATCCACTCTTAGAGAAGTTGGCACTTGCATTAATAAGCACATCTAGAAAATTAAAGACATATTTCTAGTGTCACCCCATATGTGTGTTAACTACTTATCCTCTCCGAAATGTTTTCACAAGCCCGCATTATCGGGCCGATTGACCAAATGGGTCGTCAAACTTGGCAGGTACGATATCAAATATCAACCCCGAACGACCATCAAGTCTCAAATCTTAGCTAACTTCGTGGCTGATTTTACACCAACCCTCGTACTCGAAGTGGAAAAGGAACTTCTACTAAAATTAGGTACATCATCGGGGGTATGGATCCTCTTCACAGACGGTGCCTCGAATATGAAAAGGTCCGGGCTTGGCATTGTTTTGAAGCCACCTACAGGTAACACTATTAGACAATCTATCAAAACTTATAGGTTGACTAATAATGAGACCGAGTATGAGGCCATGATTGCAGGTCTCGAGTTAGCTAAAAGCTTGGGGCAGAAGTCATTGAAGCCAAGTGCGATTCTCTGTTGGTGGTAAACCAAGTAAAAAAAAGCTTAAAGTTCAAGAGGCTAGGATGCAAAGATATTTAGACAAGCTACAGGTAACATTGCATCGCTTCAAGGAATGGACTCTAGACCATGTACCTCGGAGGCAAAATAGTGAGGCAGATGCACTTGCAAACTTGGGGTCATCAGTCGAGGAAGATGATATTATCCCTGAGACTGTCGTCCAATTATCAAGATCTGTGGTCGAGGAAGTTCATGCTGAGATAAATTCTACAAGTTTGACTTGGGATTGGAGGAATACATATATTGAATATGTGAAAGATGGAAAGCTCCCATCGGATCATAAAGAGTTGAGAGCTCTACGAACCAGGGCTGCTAGGTTCACATTGTATGAAGATGGAACATTATACAGAAGGACGTTTGATGGACCATTGGCGGTATGTTTAGGGCCGGGGGACACCGATTATGTTTTACGAGAGATCCATGAAGGCACTTGTAGAAACCACTCCGTCGTTGAGTCTTTGATTTGCAAAATTATTAGAGTGGTTACTGGGATAACATAGAAAAAGACACTAAGGAGTTTGTCAAAAAATGTAATAAATGTCAAAGGTTTGCACCGATGATTCATCAGCTAGGAGAGCAACTTCACTCAGTCCTGTCCCCATGGCCTTTCATGAAATGGAGAATGGACATCGTCGTCCCTTTACCAATGGCCCCATGTAAAGCTAAATTCATTTTGTTTATGACTAACTACTTTTCTAAGTGGGTGAAAGTACATGCCTACGAGAAGGTCAGAGAAAAAGAAGTTATTGACTTCATCTGGGACCATATCGTGTGTTGATTCGGGATAACTGCCGAAATCGTATACGGCAATGGCAAGCAATTCATTGGCAACAAGGTAACGGAGTTCCTCGAAGCACACAAAATAAAAAGGATTTTATCAACACCGTATCATCCGAGCAAAAACGGACAGGCCGAGTCAACAAATAAGACTATCATTCAAAACTTGAAGAAAAGGATGAACGACGCTAAAGGGAAATGGAGAGAAGTTCTACCCAAAGTTCTTTGGGCATATCGAACAACATCGAAGTCTAGAACGGGGGCAAACCCATTCTATTTAGTATATGGCTCCGAGGCCTTGATTCCAGTCGAGGTCAGGGAACCCATCGCCAGATTTTGACATACATCGGAGGAATCAAATCACGAGGCTATGAATACTAGCCTCGAGCTATTAGATGCAAAATGAGAAGCTGCACTTTTTGGATGGATTCACAGAAGTAAAGAATCAAAAGATACTATAATAGAAGAACCAACCTTCGACACTTCAGAATCGGGGATTTAGTTCTAAGGACCATATCGAGTCATCGGAAAAGGATCTTACAAACTTGGCACGATGGAAGGCGAATAATTGCCAAACAATTGGAATGTGTCACTGCTCAAACAATATTATTGCTGAGGTATGACCTTATCCTCTTTTCCATTTTTATTTAACGCTAACTCATTGTAGATGTTCGATCAAAGACTTCGAGGGAACCCTTCTACACTAAGACCTTAGGTTTTAAAGCACGTGTTGCACTCTTTTTCACTTAGATCGGGTTTTATCCCAAATGAGTTTTTCCTGAGAGGTTTTTAACGAGGAAACAACTATGTGCTACCTAAGGAGAATTCAACAGTATCCAATGCTTCTTTTCAATCAACCTCGAATATTGGGGGGCATCACCCTCGGAGGCTATATTTTCGAGAAAAATACTTCACGCCAAAGAGGGCCTCGATAGGAAATCTTTGTAATGGGCCAAACAGTCAGATGAACTGTGTCCAAATAGAATAGCCGAGCCCTGAAGGCAAAATATATATGCGTGTATAAGTTATTCAATGAGGCATTCTTTGTATATCAAACACTTTATGTCTCAAAGAAATTTGCTACTATACGAGCTCCATACTTGTGATTCTCTATGAGAAATGGCTCAAGGGCCAAAATACAAACACACCTCGAATAGTCGGGGACTGTCATCGACAATCAACACATTCAAGTTGTCTAAACTCGAATTCATAAGACCTTAAAGAGGCATCCCCAACGTAAAGGCCAAGGCCATCATACTCGGGGACTGACATTTCGAACAAGTTGGAAATGTTATCGGGAAACAAATCCAAGAGACACATCCAAAGGCTACGATCATATTAAAGGATATGACCAAAATAACGCAGCTTGGAGACGTCCGAATTCTGCAATAAATATAGGCCTTCGAATTCTCAGAATATCGATTAAATAAAGGATACCCTCGGCAAAATAACCAAAGATCTTCGATAAAATCAGCCTTCGAAAAACCTTAAGAGGTATCGAATTATTCAAATACAAACTTGTGCTAAGGCACAAAAAACAAAGGGTTCTGATCGACACTAAACCCTAAAAAAACCCACCCGATTTGATTCCATGAAGCCGAGGAATTTGCCTAAGCCAACCCCGAAGGCACATTTTTCGGGGTTAATTTTTATGTTGTACTTCCTCAAGATTTCGAATGTTTCCTGCAAATGAGTCAAATGATCCTCTGCGCGTAGGGACTTAACTAACATATCATCAATTACCTATCTGTTCCTCGAACATTTTGTTAACTAGGCGTTGGTATGTAGCTCCTGCATTTTTAGTCCGAAGGGCATTATGTTGTAATAATAATTTCCATACTTGGTGATAAATGAGGTCTTCTACGGATCTTCTGTGTTCATCTGAATTTGATTGTACCCGGATAGGCATCGAGAAAGGTAAGGATCTCATGGCCGGCTGTGGCATCAATCATGCAGTCGATTTTAGGCAGTGGAAAAGAGTCTTTAGGGCATGCCTTATTTAAATCCTTATAATCTACGCACATTCTAAGTTTGTTCCCTTTTTTTGGGACTACAACTACATTTGCTAACCACTCAGGGTACTTTACCTCCTGAATGGACCCTATTTTAAGAAGTTTAGTTACCTTAGTCTTTATGAATGCATGCTTCACCTCGGACTGGGGCCTTCTCTTTTGCTTCATCGGTTTAAATCTGTGGTCGAGGATCAACTGGTGAGTTGTTATTTTCGGTGGGATCCATGTGATGTCTAAATGGGACCAAGCAAAACAATTCATGTTATCAATAAGAAATTGAATGAGTTTTTTTCTGAGTTTGGGGGTTAGCCCTGTTCCCAGGTATACCTTTCGTTCGGGAATATACTCGATTAGTATGACCTATTTCAGCTCTTCGACCGTTGACTTGGTTGCATGTGACTCTTCGGGAAAAATGAAAGTTCGAGGAGTAAGGAAATCCTCTTCTTCTTTTTTGATTACTTGTTTCTCCGATTCGGTCGAGGTTGGGGACGGTGATTGCTATTTGGCCGTTTGCTTATCTTTGTTGCTCGTTTTTTTAGCTCGAAAGTGTTGATGCTGGTGTCACCTCATCGATTGCAAACATTTCCTTTGTTGCGTGTTGTTCCCCGTAAACTGTTTTCACACCATTCATTGTTGGGAATTTCATCATTTGATGAAGGGTCGATGGTACTACCCTCATATTGTGGATCCATGGCCTCCCGAGTAGTGCATTATATCTCATGTCGCCTTTGATGACATGGAATTTTGTATCCTGGATGGTCCCAGCCACGTTCACCGGTAGGATTATCTCTCATTTCGTTATTTCACTTGCCATGTTGAAGCCGTTTAGGACTCGAGATGCAGGTACAATTTGGTCCTGCAGGTCGAGTTGCTCTACAGCCCTTGATTTGATTATGTTTGACGAACTACCGGGACCCACAAGAACACGTTTAACTTGAATTTTATTTTACAAAATAGAAATTGTCAGGGCGTCATTGTGCTGTTGAGAAATGCCTTCCGCTTCTCGTCATTGAACGATAGGATGCCCTTGGGCATATAACTCCGAGTCCATTTTTTCTTGTAATCGACACCTTGGTACGTTTGATAGGCCCTTATGGAACATCGACCCCGCCAACTATCATATGAATTACATGTTGTAGCTCTTCCTACTCATTATTTCTATTGATGTCTCTTTCTCTGAAGTGATTCTTAGCTCGATCACTAAGAAACTCTCGAAGATGACCCTCGTTGAACAATCGAGCTACCTCCTCCCTGAGCTGTCTGCAATCTTCGGTCCTATGGCCATGTCTGCCATGATATTTACACATCAAGTTTGGATTTCTTTGAGAAGTATCGATTTGTATAGGTCTGGGCTGCCTGGTGTCTTTGATTCTTCCGATAGTCAATACGATCCTCGATGCATCGACACTGAAATTATACTCCGATAATCAAGGTGCTTTTGCGGGATCAGTATGTTAATCAAAACCATTCTTACTTATAAGTCCCCGAGAATTTTTCCCTCGATCATTTCTTCGATAATTCCGAGGAGGATTGAGCCCCAAACCACTATTTCTTTGATCTGCGCCATATGGCTGATATAGTTCTCTGTTCGACCTCGGTTCCTTGTCGGTATACCTCAGGGCTTTAACTGCCAATCCGTTTGGATGAATTGAATCCGAGGGGCTCCAGCTGGTCATCCTCAACCCTGATCTTCGATTGATAACGATTATGCACATCTGCCCAAGTTACAACTGGATATTCAATCAGATTTTGCTTTAATTGTCGTAACGCTATCGAACTCCACTCATTCAACCCTTGTGTGAAAGCTTGAATGACCCAATCATCCGTAACTGGTGGCAACTTCATTCGCACCATTTGAAATCGGGACATGAACTCCCTCAGCATTTTGTTATCCGTTTGTCTTATCTTGAAAATGTTGGATTTTCTCGTTGCAACTTTTATGACCCTAGCGTGAGCCTTCACAGAATAATCAGCTAACATGGTAAATGAATCGATGGAGTTCGGTGGCAAGTTGTGATACCAAACCATTGCTTCATTTGATAGAGTTTCCTCAATTTTTTTCGACAAAACGGACTCGATCTCATCGTCTTCTAAGTCATTTCCCTTTATACCGCATGTGTATGTAGTGATATGTTCATTAGGATCGGTGGTCCCATTGTATTTCGGTATATCCGGCATACAAAACTTCTTTGAAATGGGCTTTAGAGCCGTACTCTAGGGAAAAGGCTTTTGCACGAACTTTTTTGAATCCACACCCTTTAAGATCGGGGGTGCCCCTAGTATTTGATCAGCTTGGGAATTGTATGTTTCCACTTTTTTGTCATTATCTTCGATTTTCTTTTCTCCTGACTCAATTCTTTTATTGAGCTCCTCAAGCATCTTCATAATCGTAGGATCAACCCCTGATCCACTACCATTTGTTCTTTCCGGCACTGGCTTGGTACGGCGAGTGATTTCCGGATCGACCACACTCGGAGTTTTGTGTTGACTCTGAAGCTGAGAAATAGCAGCCTATTGAGCCTGCAATATCTCAAATATCACCTAAAGACTAACTCCCCCGTCTCTTACACTCCGAGTTCCTTGGCCACCAGTTCGGCCTTCCCTGTGCACACTTCCTCCGGGGTTCGCACCTAAATCCGCGTTCAGAGCAATGTGTGAACTGACATCGACTGGCTTGGTAGCAGGCACTTCCTCAGGGTTAATCGGTGACACACTAACTCTTGGAGCAATTACGTTGTCATTTTCCCTTTGAAATACAAGATCGTCACTACCATGTACGAGCGCGTTCTGTGAGTTTGACATGTTTTACCCTGAGAACAAAGAATCTTTGACAAGAATAAGTGTGAAAATAACGTGTGTTCTTAAAATCAGCACTAAAACAATCACTATTATCTTTAGCCCCACAGTGGGCGCCAAACTGTTTACCCCTAAAATTCGAGTAACAACTAAATTTGTTTTGAGGTCTTAAATATACGTGATTTAGTCCAATACTAACTGATAACCAACAATCAAACTTATAAATTAAATAAGTAAGTTGAATCAAACCAGTGTGCAAGCAAGCCTCGACCTCGAGCTAGGGTGGCCTTGAGGTAGGTCAGTAAGAACAATAAAGTTAAAGGACAATTCTGATGAGTAATAAGCAAGAAAATAAGAATGTATATTCTTTTGCCAATGATTGATAATGTTACAAATGAATGGGCTTCCCTTTATATAGCAGGGGAGTCTTTTACAAGGTACATTTTCATTTTTAGTAGGGAATCTTATTGGGATAGCTGTCTAACCGCCTAGTATAAATCCGTACAAACTCGTACAAATCTATTCCGAAATTTATGTCGTTATCTTAGGGATGTTGCGAGAATCTTGCTCTTTCTGTTACAAACCCATAATGGCGTCATCTTGGGATTGGTCATACTCAGCCATGGTTCCCATCGTGTACTTCAATCTTTGAGCCTTGTACTTCGTCATCGGGCTCGAGCTTGGTCCATTTTGAACTCGGGCTCGAAGTGACTCTTCGAGCCCATGAAATCGGGCATACCTGATTTTGACCATATACAATTATGTTTTAGAGTTATATAACACATATTGAACACCCTTTATCGGGATTTTGAACATTAGAACTAATTATCAGGCAAATCATTACCAGCATTTTCTGTAGCAGCAAATTTTCATTAAAGGTGCAATGTAGAGTATCCAGTCAGTGGCTCCGACTTTGATAGATGTGATCACTTCTCTATCAAGATCTTGGCTACTTTTTTTCAATTATTTTTTTAAAACATTGTTTTCTCATAAAATATGATCAAGTTTTTGAAAAAAAATCAAATATTTTTAAATTCCTAAAAATAGGTTTAGGGCAACTTTTGGGTAAAATTCTTTCTTCAACTCATAAGATTTCAAATTTTTTTTTTCAAATAAAGTGAATGTCCAAATACAACCCCAACTTCCAAAAATTATTTTTCAACACAACTTCAAAAACTTTTTTTTCAAGTTTCAGCCAGATTTATATCCAAATACTAGCTTATAGTTCAATAAAATTAGCATTTTGACAAAGTAGTCACCCAAAGATTCGCTTTTTGAAGCGTTTGATTGAATGTATTTTGGGTATTAATTTGAACAAAAACCTATTTTTGCTTAAAGAAGAAGATAATCACAGTAGTGACCGATCGGTTGATGGGTCTTAATGGCTGAAGATGTAATTATTCAATAGCACATGGAAATGCAAGCTAAACACCAAGTTTTTGTTGTTGTTAATTAAAACAATGAAGATTTGGTGTTCCAACTTGTATAATTCAGTCATGTAAATGGGTACATTTATATCTGAAGAAGTACAATGGTAGTAGGAGTTTTATAGATGATGAAGAGAGGTTTAGGAGATATATACAATAATTTTAATTCAAATGAGAATCTTAGCTCTGCTTATCCTTATCCTTATCATGCCCTCACAAGATTGTCTCCACTGGTTGGAGGCCAATCATGGTCACAAATTCAGAGAAAGGTCATCGAGGTAGAGGTTTTGTTAGGGCATCTGTAAGCTGTGAGACATTGCTAATGTGCCGAACATTAATTTTTATTCCTTTCAACTTGATCACGGACGAAATGAAAATCAATGGCCACATGTTACATTCTACTGTGGAAGATAGGATTACGACTGAGATAAGTAGCTCGAACATTATCGCATAGGATTTTTAGCGGAGTATTAGGTGGAAGATGCAGCTCCTTAAGGAGATTAACAATCCAGTTTACTTCAGCTACAGCTCCTGCAACAGTTCGATACTCAGCTTCAGTGGATGAGCGAGCAATTATTCGATTCTTTTTAGAACACCAACTGATAGGATTTAACCCAAGAAGAATGACATAAGATGAAGTTGAGTGTCTTGTATCAAGCATTCTATCCCAATCAGCGTCAGAGTAAGTCAGAAGTATGGTAGTGGATGAGGGCCTTATGATAAGTCTATAGGTGAGTGTTTCTTTGAGGTATCTGAGCAAGCACTTAGCTGCTTGCCAATGTCGAATCGATGGAGCATGTTGGAATTGAGCAAGCTTATTGATGGTAAAGCAAATACCCGGCCTTGTAAAACTAAGATACTGATGGTAAAGCTTATTGATGAAAATCAACACCCGGTCTTTGGTGAAAACCCTTTGCAACTAGACGCGCATTATATCGTTCCATTGATCCATCTGCATTTTGTTTTACACGAAATACCCACTTGCAGCCTATCACATTTTGTGATGAAGTTGGAGGAACTAGAGATCAAGTAGCATTATTCAAAAGAGCTGAGTATTCAGCCTGCATTGCATCATGCCATTCAATATATTTGTTTTCTTGCTTAAACGTATGAGGTGCTAGTGGCAGTATTTTGTTGGGCGAGACAACAAGGTAGTCAAAAACTTATTTGGGCTTGAAGACATTATTTTGAGATCTCATCACCATTCTTGAGGGAGGAAGAGGTACCACTTTTGTGGTAGAAGAAGAGAGAAGAGGCGTAGTAGTGGAAGAAGAACAAGGTAGATAAGATCGTACCTCGAGTGAAGGTAAGCATCATCCTGCAATGATAAGCTCGACAAACCTTCCATGGGTGGCTGTTGACAAGGAGAGTTGCTTGAGGGAGGCAATGAGATAGGTTCAAAGGCAAAATCTGATTGGTTTTGTATTGGAGAAACATTGGTTGGTTCTATGGAGTGGATCCACTAGTGCGCAAGAGTGATGGTTCTATTCTGGGAAGACCTAGCTGATTATTTTTGAATGAAAATATATGTTCCACAAAGAGGACGTGTCTTGAGATGAATATTTTGGAGGTTGAAAGATCAAGACATTCATAACTATTTGTAGAAGGTGAGTATCCCATGAAGGCACAAGGTCTTGATTTGGGAGCAAGTTTATTATTGTTATATGGTTTTAACCAGCGGTAACATAAACAACCAAAAACTCTTAATTTCAAAAGGTTACGGAATGTGTTAAAGAGGCATTGAAAAGGAGAACAAAGTTTGAGCTATGGAGTAGGCATCCTATTTATAAGGTAGACAGCCGTTTGACAAGCCAATGACCAAAAACGTGAAGGTACAGATGCATGGTGCATTAAAGTTAGAACAATATCAATGATATGTCGATGCTTGCGTTCAGTTTTCCGAAAACGGCGCCTTTTTTTGAATTAAACCAAAAACTTGTTGCGACCAAATGCACAAGCAAGTATACGTGGCCTCAAGTAATAAAGTGACTAAAAGTCGGATGTCGAACCCACGAGAACTTGTGATTAACTATTAAGCAAATTAGACTATACTAATTATCTAAATAAGAATTAAACCTAGAAGTATATGATTCTAATCTAATTAAAATAAAAAGAAAAGAAATAATGAACTCTAAATAAAAGGATAGCAGATTTTTATGTTATCAATGTGATGAAAACGTTCTAGAGTTATGGGCTATCTAACAATCATATTGTATTCTTCATTTGAATTGACTAATTAATTTATCTGATTTAATGGTTGACAGGGTTAATATGCTCATAAGAATTCGTTGAGTTCTTACTCGCCTATTCAAGCTAACCTAACGCCTATATGTCTATAATAGAACTAATAAGAACGCATTTATAATTCCTGTAAATCAACCAAGCAAGGCAATTAGGTATATGTCTATCCTAACTGCGAATCCATTCCCCGATGCCCAGGTTCAAGAACTTGCTCTACTCAATCCTATGTGCAATCTAGTATTCCCACTTTCGAGTTCAACTCTAGATTCATAGATAGTATTTAATTGGTGATCAAGCAATTATATAATTACGCACAAGATTGAATAAATAAACTAATATGATAAACTAAGAAATAAAAATCAATATTCGAATAACAATAGTCATGGAAGAACCACAACCCTAGAACGTGAAGTTTAGCTCCACATAGACATAGTAGCAAAACAACAAATCATACAAAGAAACATAAAAATTACTAAGTTTGGTGAAAGAAAATATGAAACCCGGCCTCCACGGTGGCTCTGTGCTATCCCTTTCTCAAACTTTACTCTCAAAAACGTTCTATCTCCCCCAAAATAGGTTTAGACTTCTTTTTATACAAGTTAGGGCAGTGTAGGACCAAAATAACCTTGTCCCGAATAAAAAAAAGAAAAATTCTTACCCAGTGTCCTGGGCAGCACCTAGCGCTGGCCCTGGCGCAGAAACCAGTGACATTTT